TTCATTGTCCAGCTCTAACATGCATATGAGGAGACTAAAAATATCACGGCTTGTGTCAGGTGCACCTTAGTCATCAAGGAGATATCTTTGCTCCTCAGCACTTGAAAGAGGTCCTTTGCAGCCGACTTGCCCAATGCTATACGTTGTTTAATGTCCTGACTGCTGCTTCCATTGGCATCAATTGTATAACTAAGCAATGTGAAGTCTTTGACAATTTCAATTTTCGGTACAGTGACTATATTCCTTCCATCTTCTTTTGCTGTTTCTTACATCATTCGATATTTTGCCCATAGAATCTTTCAATACTGCAACTCAAGGCTTGAATTTTTTTTCAGTTCTTTCAGCTTGAGAAATGCTGAGTATGTTCTTCCCTTTTGGTTTTCTTACTCCAGGTCTTTGCACATTTCATTATAAAAATTGACATTGTCTTCTCCAGGTGTTCTATGAAATCTTCTGTTCAGCTCTTTTATCTTGTCATTTTTTCCATTTGCTTTAGCTACTCTCCATTCAAGAGCAAGTTTCAGAGTCTCTTCTGACATTCATTTTGTTTTTTTCTTCCTTTCCTGTCTTTTTAATGACCTTTTGCTTTCTTCATGGATGATGTTTTTGACGTGTTCCCACCCACAATTCCTCTGGTTTTCAGTCACTGCTGGTCAATGCGTCAAATCTATTCTTCAGATGGTCTCTAAATTCAGCTAGGATTTAATCAAAGTCATATTTTGGCTCTTATGGACTTGTCTTAATTGTCTTCAGCTTCAACTTGAACTTGCACATGAGCAGTTGAGGTCCATTCCACAGTCAGCTCCTGGCCTTATTTTGGCTAAAGATATATGGAGCTTCTCCATCACCTCTTTGTAAAGATGTAGTCGATCTGATTCCTGTATACTCCATCTGGTGAGCTCACATGTACAGGTGCTATTTATGTTGTTGAAAAGGTATTTGCAATGAATAAGTTGTTGGTCTTGCAAAATTCTATCATGCAGTCTCTGGTGTCATTTTCTATCACCAAAGCCATATTTTCCAACTACTGGTGATTCTTCTTTGCTTTCAACTTTCGCATTCCAATCAGTAGTAATAATCAATACATCTTGATTGCATGTTCAGTCAATTTCAGACTGCAGAAGTTAGTAAAAATCTTTAATTTCCTTGTCTTTGACTTTGGCAGTTGATGCATAAATTTGATTAAAGGTAGTATAAATTGGTCTTCCTTATAGGCATATGGATATTATCCAATCACTGACAGCACTGTACTTCAGGATAGATCTTGAAACATTCTTTGTGATGATGAATGTCACGCTGTTCATCAATTTGTCATTCCTGACATAGTAGATCAAATGCTTGTCTGATTCAAAATGGCCAAAACCACTCATTTCAGCTCACTAATGCCTAGGATGGGAGCTCTGGTAGCACAGTGGCTAAGGCACCTGACTGCTAACCAGAAGGCTGGCGGTTCAAACTCACCAGCCACCTCTCGGAAAGAAGATGGGGCAATCTACTTCCGTAGTGATACTGCCTCGGAAACCCAAGGAGGGGTCGCTATGAGTCGGGTCCGACTCGATGGCACATAACAACAACAACAACAATGCCTAGGATACAATTTTTTGGCATTCCATTTCATTTTTGACAACTTCCAATTTTCCTAGATTCATACTTCATACATTCCATTATTAATGAATGTTTGCGGCTGATTCTTCACATTTTGAATTGCGCCACATCAGGAAATTGAGGTCTCAAAAGCTTTACTCCATCCATGTCATTAGAGTCGACTCCACTTCGGGGAGGCAGCTCTTCCCTAGTTGTATTTTGAGTGCCTTCCGACCTGATGGGCTCATATTCCAGCACTGTATCAGACAACGTTTCAGGGCTATTCATAAAGTTTCCCAGTAATATATCAGACCATGTTTCACTGCTATTCATAAAGTTTTCAATGGTCAATGCTTTGAGAAATGGATGCCCCCTTCCTTCTTCTGAGTCTGTCTTAGTCTGGAAGCTCTGCTGAAACCTGTCCACCATGGGTGATCATGATGTATTTAAAATATCAGTAGCATAGCTTCCAGCCTCACAGCAATACACAAGCCACCACAGTATGATAAACTGACAGACAAGTAAATGACTTACTTACAAGAGAATGGAAATCACCTTGTCACCAAACTTGAATAGCAATACTTTATGCCAGATATAACTGGAATAACACGTAAGATACTTAAGGAAAGAAAATGTGACCCAGTATTTTACATGTAGCCACTGGCTTTCTAGTACAAATACTACAAAAGTCTTCCATATTCAAAACCTTAAGAAACATCATTCCCATGATTCCTTTCTCAGGAAGCTAAACTTTATAAAAGCCAAATTTAAAGATAATAAAAACCAGAGACAAGCTCAGAGACTCTTTTTACATGAAGAACTAAGACAACATATGAAATAAAGGTAGAAACTATCATGTAAAACATATTTTCTGTGTGTCAGTTATCAACTGACTGAATTTCAGCTCCAAATTCATCACTTTTACCTCCTCTGGGATAATGGAACTGGACCTTATAAATAATTCTCCTCTTGCTAATGAGCAATATTAAACTTTGTCATGAGAGAGCTTTGAAGGAACACTGGAAGAGGAAAGGGTTTTCTATTCTGGGTTCTAGTGAGCTCACCATGTGTATGTGTGTGTGTATGTGTGTGTGTGTGTGTTAAGTTCCTACACTGTCAGTGGCCCTGGTGATGAGCATCTCCCTAGCCTCCCCTAGTAAATCTTTTCACAATGGAAGAGCGATCTTTCTGCAGTAAGTACCACCTCTAATCAAAGCATTTTGAAGCAAAATTCAGCAGCATTAAACTCAAAACCTCATTATTTTTAAGTCAATTCCAGCTTACAGAAATCCCTATAGGAGAGAGTAGAACTATTCCACAGGGTTTCCAAGGCTGTAATCTTTACAGAAGTAGATTGCTATGTCTTTCTTCCTTGGAGCAGTGGGTAGGTTTAGGGTGGCTGGTGGGTTCAAACTGCTGACCTATCAGCAGCCAAGTGCTTATCCATTGCCCCACCAGGGCTCCTATCAGAAGCATTACCAAGTTCAAATTCAAGGCAATGCTACCAACAAGTTCTGCAGGTGTCCCAGCTCACTTCTATCTGATTTCTTAACAATAGCTTCCAAGTCAATCAATAGCAACCTCCCAATTCCCAACAGCTTTCTAGGAATCCAGCTGGCTTTCCAGAAGCAAGTCAGCAACCCCTAGGACAGCTTTCTGGACAGTTTTGTCAGCATCCTCATATATGGTTGGTTTTGTGCAGCATTAGCCTGGGACTGTGGACCAGCTCTGGCCCAGGACAACCCAGAGTACTTTTCTGAAATACAGTGAGCTTCAAGCATACCCCTCCAGTGAAGTCTGAATACCTGCCTTCGGGAGCATTCTCTGCCTCCAACTTTGTTCTTTCTTTGTTTTCCAAATTTGTTTAACTTCCCTCAACTCTTATGTATCTTTGTTCTCTTTTTCTCCCCTGTTAACTAATTCACTATTACTGCAATCCATTTCATAATTTTTTATACCAAATCTCCCTGTTCAAATTACTGTGTGGTTTGTCTCCTGACAGAGTATAACTGTTAAAATAAAATGAACCAAAACCAAGAAAGAATGAATGGGAAACATCTACACATATGTACTTTTCAAAAACTGCTTCAGTAACCATGCAGGTGACAGTCTCAGTACCACTATTCTGAGAAGGTATGTGTGATACAGAATAAAGCAAACAAGTAATTGTGTGACAATCTAATCCTATCATCCCCAGCCCAGTGTCCTTCAGACTTAGGAATCTCAATGTAGGGGAAAAAAAGAGATACAGATGTAAGAAGAGGCTAAGATAACATTCTTAAGTCCTAAATGCAAATTACAGGTATCAGAATGATCACGTGAGGAGTTCTATTTTTTTACAAACATACTCACCTCTTAATCTTCCAGCTCTGTCCACTGCCTGTGTCTGAGATTGTGGCCCTGAGAACTATTTTCCATTAAAACTAACCAGGCCTTGGGTAGGATATTTAAAAGATGAGCCTTAGACATCCTGTTATACCAGATACATGGATGCAATCAAAGACTAAGACTACAAAAATTACATCAAAAAGACTCAGAAACCAACTATTGAGCAAAGATTTGACTATCTCAGCATCAACAATTGAAATGGATTGAAATACAGTATATAAATTTATACCTTTAGTTCATAATAATGTAAAACAAAACCAAATTGGCCACTCTTTAATTTAAAAGCTGAAAATAAAAAGAGTGAATCAGATGTTTATTCTGCCTTTCTTATGCTTACTTTATAAGAAAATTATCAATCAATAGGTGAGGTAAAGCTTCTCTATAGCAGTAATCCAATAAAAAAGATGGATGACAGAATTGGTATATCACCATTTTGCAATCCTTAATAAATTAAGAGGTAGAGATTACCTTAAAAGTTATACTTGGATACAAGAAGAGGGTTTGCTTTAGGAAAGGGCAAGTAGAGGGCTTCTGAGATTCCATCAAGGCTCTATTTTCTAGTAAGTATGACACTTAAAAAGGTGTTTGATCAACTGAGATTTACATGTATCTCATGTGATTTCTCTTATGGTGTTATATAAATAACATGAATGACCTCCAAATTAGTAGAAAGAAATAAGGGGCATAAAATATAATCAATTTGTCAGAAGGAAAAAAAGTTTGGGGGAGGAAACAGCATTTTTAACGTGGAGATACATGGTAAAAGTATTAAAACATGGAAGGAATGACATACTCCAACTTCTGAACAATGGAAGAAAGGGATGGAAGGTGAGGCTTCCTACACTATCTAATGTTTTATTTCTTTAGAACAAAGATCTGAAAGAAAATTTTATATACATTATTTCTACATGGTGAGCATATGGGTCTCTGTTACACTATTTTTTATGCCCTTTTCTTCCTATGTTTTAAATAGCTTCTCTCTTAATTTTTAGACATTAAAATACTCGTATGAAATACAGTGTACTTACATTTTTAATCATCTTAGTCTGTTCATTAATAGCTTCAAGGGGGACATTAGTGGCCCCAATTTGTTGTGTGATGCCTCCTGCTTCACCGTCTTGAACATGAGTGTGCCGGAGCTTTGAGAAAACAGTAAAGTCAGATTTGTATATTGAAATGGAAAATTTTGAAAGCAAAAGTAATAAGAAATTATTAATTTACTTGCTTTAAACAGATATGCCTATATGTGCTATGGTTTTTATTAGCTTTTAATAAGCTATCAGTCACTTAATTAAAAAGCCGTATCAATGTACAAAATATTTTCTTACTTTATCCAAAATTTTTGTCTTCCCTGTGTCCACATGTCCAAGCACACAGATAATAGGGGCTCTTAACTTTTCTGTATTTACATTTTTACTGTGTTCTAGTCTCCGTTTCTATAAGTTAAAAAAAAAAAAATCACAAAATTAAACATTATTTCCAATTCTCATTATCATTATTGTTCGTTAAATATTTTCCTAGGCAACAGAATGCCATAACCTGCATCCAAGTTCTTCGTTAATCTTACTACATGTAATTACATTTTACAATGTAAACTTTAAAATCCTATTTCCATCACAGCAGCTTTGGACAAGGACAAACCTGTTTGGTATAGATTTCAGAGTAGCACTGTTAAATATAATTAAGAATTGTGTAAAGTGTCAGCTCAAACATTCTGAACACTCTGGTAAAAAGCTACTTTAACAAAATATAATGAATACAAAATGAATAGATTTTCCCATCAAACTTACTATACAGCACAACCTCTAATTTATGTAGGAGTCTATATAAAAGTAAGCATTCTACGGCATTAAAAAAATTCATTAGAACCTAAGAATTGTAAAATCACTAAAAGTAATTTATTTCATGCTTTAGAGCAGCATACAAATGATACAAAAATTCCCTCAAATAAGAGTGTTTTTATTAAGCTTATGCACAAATAAGTCCAATGACATTGTATTTCTTATAAATAATGCTCGTTATACATTTTTGTCAACCCACAATCTCCCAAGTATTATTTTCGTAAGCACACTATGCCATTATTTTCACATGTGGCTAACTTCAACTGACATTAAGAAAATATGATTAAACTAAGAAATAAGCAGACCTAATACAATCTAATGATTTCACTTAAGATGATCAAACAGGGTTTTCACATTCAACTGCTGAGCTAATAATGTGCTGCAATTATCAACTTAATCTCATAGAAGCAAATGCAATTTCAAATGCTTGTTTTCCAATTACCATGGGACTACCAAACTCAATCTATAACTTCTTGACCATGACTTCTATCTTCATTATACAACTATGAACAAAATTTACATTTCCATACTATTTTCATACTGCAGTGTAGTAAATTACTTAGTGTGGCTTTTCTACCCATAAGTCTTTGTAAACTCCAAGGTGGGATTTGCTATGAGCAACTGAGGAGCTCCTGATTGCTAAAGTTGTCCACCTGGACTATTTCTGTTGGGAGTGGCACAAAACAATGTTCTGGGAGGTGCCCACTCTCTCTCAGGTGCTTAGAGTTCTGATGCTATGACTGGCTAGTTTGACCACCCTGCCGGGCTCAAAAGGAGGCCTCCTAGAGGCAGAACTCTCTCTGACTTGTTGAGGAAGACGTGCTGCTGAAAGAGACACTGGCTCCTGAGACACACGTTGCTTGGAAAGAGATGCAAGAGACACGCATTGCTGAGTGAGACACCGAGGGACCAGCACTGCTGAGAAAGAGACTGTGAGAGACTGCTGGCCGAGGGATGGTGGGCTGGGAGAGAGACTGAACGGTTTTTCCTGAACTAGAATTGTAGCCTGTGGTGCTTCCCTAATAAACCCCATAATCTGTGAGCTCTGTGTGGCCCTGCAGTGAATTATCGAACCCAGGAGAGAGGTGGTGGGTGCTCTGGGAGGAACAGTTGGAGAAAGGGCTGGAGGGAGGCAGCATGTCTGGCCTGGCAGGAATAGGCCTTGGGTTACTGCTGGTAATCCTGTCCTCCTCTTGTGGGATTAGAGGAGGTCAGAACATGTGTCTTCCTTGCCATTTTTGCACATACACCTAAGTAGGAGATTAAAGAAAAAGAACAGAATGAAAGAAAATGAACAGAACAATATGATTTACAAGTAATACAGGAGGACGGGTGAATAAGGACAAAATTCACTTATGGAAATATCATGAGATAAGTACAATATCCAAATGAAACAGACTTTCATCAAAACCCTGAAGCAATGTCATTTATAAAATCATTTCCTAGCTATAAACGATCTCAAATTCACTCTCATGACTTTAATTAAGATTTAAAATGGATGAATTTGTGTCTTTTCCCACACTTGGTTAAAGTGTTACACTTTTCTGAAGGACAATGTGGTATGTAGATTTTGACTCAGACATTTCACCTCTACAGAGTTATCCTCAAATAACATCAGGCCAAGTCTACAAAAATATACAGGTACTACTGTGTTTGTTTATTGCAGTATTGTTTAAGATAGTGAAAAATTAGTAGCAATTTAATGTTCTTTAGTAGAGAATTTCATAAAGAGTGTTTTTAAAGCCCAGAGAGGATGCCTATCTACCTGCATAAGAATCATGTAAGTAAAGATACTTATCCACAATGGAGATTCTGACTCAGGAAGTCTACCATAAAAGTTCAGAAAATTAAAATGTAACAAGATTTTAGAACAATGAAATTAAATTAGGATCCTTTTATAAAAGAGAATAGAAAAAGTAGCTGTAAAACATGCTAAAAGGCAGAACTTCTTAAATGATGGATAAGGAGATTAGCAAATCCTGTCTTTAGAAAAAAACAACGCTAAACCTAGACAAAATATTAAAAAACCACCATTTAAAGACTGGATATTGGCCGAAGGCATATAATAGAGAACACTTACTTTAAGAAAATTTACTGACCTTCAGTAAAACCAGTGCAAGTCTGAGAAATTTTAGACAGGGGCTGGTCCATCACCCTCCTCCCACTACTACAGCTCCATGGGGTAGAACTGGTAAGGGACTGTGAGATGAGACATTTCATTACCTAGGCTGTCATAAAAGACAGTCATGATTTCAATGGCAAATATAGAGGGAATGGTAAAATCACAGCTACAATAAGGTCTCAACACCATGATGTGATAACCTAGAAGATCACACAGAAATTGAATAAGGAGATCATGGTCTGAAAGGCTATCCTCACGTGGAAGGTTGCATGTACACTCAGATAGAAAGGTCCTCAGTGAGCTACCTGTTCCTGGCTCAGTAAGACCTTGCAAGTGTACAAAGTTAAAACCACAGGAGAATAATTAACTCTCTGAAGTTTGGATTGTATGCCTTAAGTCATATAAAGATTCACAGGCAAAAAATGAAAGCCTTACTGGCCTGAAAACAACCATTAGCTGACCACTAGAATATGTGTAACACCTCTAAAACTAGACTTACGAACTAAAAAAAATATTAAAAGAAGAAACAGAAGCAAAAAAATTGAGAAAAGACATTAGTAGCTACACGATAGGACAAAGACTTCACTGAATTAGCCCATGCAATTCACTAAACAAGCAAACAAAAAACAGCCATAACTACCAACTCTTTGGGAACTCTGGTAGCATAGTGGCTAAGGCACTTGACTGCTACCAGAAGGCTGGCGGTTCAAACCCACCAGCCACTCCTCGGAAGAAAGGTTGGGCAATCCTACTTCCGTAGTGATACTGCCTCGGAAACCGAAGGAGGGGACGCTATGAGTTGGGGCCGACTCGATGGCATATAACAACAACAACCACCACCAACTCTTTTGGGGAACCAGCAAAATTAAGAGTTGCTAAAATATACTATCTGAAATGACCACTTGTCAGTAAAAAATTTAACAAGGCATAAAAAGTAACAGGAAAATATGACCTAAAACAGGGAAACAAGTGATCAATAGAAACTGTCTCTGAGGAGCCCAGAATAAGCAAAGACTTAAAAAGCAGCTATTATAAATATGTTCAAAGAACTAAAGAAATCTTGTTTAAAGAAGTGAAGGAAAGTAGAATGGCAATGACTCATAAAAACTATTAATAAAGCAAAACAAATTATTTTTAAAAGCACACAAAAATTCTGGAGTTAAACAGTTTGATAACAAATTTAAAAATTCACTAGAGTGGCTCAACAACAGATCAGTGCTGGCAGAAGAATCAGAGAACTTTAAGATAAATTAATAGAAATTATCAAAATGGTACAACTAAAGGGAAGAAAAATGAATAGACCTTTAGAAACATGAGTAACAAAATTAAGTGCACCAATGTGCAAATAAGGGGAATTCCAAAAGGAGAGGACAGAGAGAAATAGGCAGTAAGAATATTTCAAGAAATAATGTCCAAGAACTGTCAAAATTTGATGAAAACTATTATCTGTATAGTCAAGAAGCTCAATCAACTCCAAGTAGGATAAACTCAAGTATTCACAGGTACATACATCACAGTTAAACTGCTGAACGCCAAAGTCAAAAATAAAATCCTGTCCACAACCGGAGAAAAATCATTCATCACATATAAAGGATCCCTAATAAGATTAATAGTTGACTTCTCATCAGAAACAATGGAGGCCAGAAGGCAGTAGGATGGAATACTCAAAAGTGTTGCAAGGAAAAGAATTGTCAATCAAGAATTGTGTGTGCAGCAAAATACTTAAAAAATAAAAATGATACGTTTGCCTACACTGCATATACATGCACTTATATAATAAAGCACAGATGGGGCACAGTTCTAGAGATTCTCTAGACATATCCAAACACTTCATGGGACTGGTTTATTGGGTTAAAAGGCTTGGAAACATACATAGTCTCTTGGGACAACTCAGTCAACTGGCATAACATAGGTCGTAAGGATAATGTTTTGATCCTTGGGTTCTTAAAAGCTTGTGATCAGCCATCTAAAATACAACTATTGGTCTCTACTCATCTGGAGCAAAAAAGGATGAAAGAAACAAAATATTCACAGAACTAACTAGTCCACAGAACTAAAAGCCCACACGAGATATAGCCTCAGCTAGCCTGAACTAGATAGTACCTGGCTAAGACTACTGACATTTCTGACCATTTAAAATGAGAAATAATACAATCCTTCAAAAACTCAGGAGAGGAGGAAGGAACATCAATCCTAGGAGGCTAATATTACCCTGATACAAAAGCCGAACACATCATAAGAAAAGCACTAATTAATAATATCCCTTATGGATCTAGACCTCAAAATTGTCAATTAAAAATCACCAAACCAAATCCAGTAACATATAAAGAGGATTATTGCCAAAGGAGCAAGGTGGCTGCATCTTTTGACCTCCTCTGACCCCATAAGAGAAAGACAGAATTACCATCAGTGGCCCAAGGCCTATCCCTGTGAGGCCAGAAATGCTGCCTTCCTCCAGACCTTTCACCAACCC